TTTTTTGTGGTGGAAGGGTTTTTCCTTGAGGGGTTTTGCCCGGACGCCGGGTTTCCCCTCCATATGTTACCATGTTGGTATTTTCTGATGTATCCTGGGGCGTTCTTGCCCAATTGATGGTTAGTCACTTGCGTGAAGAACCAGGGAGGGTGTTCGTGAGTCTGCGAACATTGCTGTTGGATACATGTGCTGGATGATTTTGTGTCACGCAGACTGGTAAGATAACCGTTTGATAGGGGGCACCGCGATGATTCACGGGGCCCCTCCTTGCTGTGGGAGCCGCTCTTTGAGCACTCCCTCTTTCGTCCGTGTGAAGGATGGTCGTCTACCTCCCGTGAAGTTAATACATCACCAAAACAGTCTCACCCGATAAATAAGTGGCGTAGGCCGCAAACAGACGCCACCTGAACGGCTGAGAGTTTGCTTGTAAGAAGCCTTTACAGGGTGTTTCTCTGCGGTGACAACACCCCCACTGGATGGTACTGGCACCTTGAACGATAGATACAAGCATACGTCCTAATGAAACCTGCTGCAGGGAGGCCGGCCACACAACAGTCGTGATGGGCTGGTTGAACCGATTTCCAAACGATAGCACCTGCAGTGAGGCCGGCCACACGGCTTCGGCGATGGGCTGGTTGAATGTATATCCGAACGATAGGTGCTGCAGGGAGGCCGGCCACACGATGTTGGCGATGGGTTGGTTGAACCGAAGTCCAAACGATAGGTGCTGCAGGGAGGCCGGCCACACGACGTCGGCGATGGGCTTGTTGAATTTATATCCGAACGATAGCTGCTGCAGGGAGGCCGGCCACGACGCCGTGATCACGGGCGTATCCAATTCCAATACCAGCCGTTTGAGCCTTTGAAGCCACAACATCGATGCTAGGTTTGCTGCAGATGAATGTCCCCCACTCCGCCGATATTTTGACCCTCGCTGCAGCTCCATGGCACAACTCTGCAGCAGGACGTCCATTGAAAGTGCCCACGTCAAACTATAAGCCCGCACGACTGGAGCACGACTGACTCCAGACACCAACCTCCCGACGGTGCTTGTTGACTGTGGTGTGGAAGATGCGAGGAGACCACAAGCTACGAGGTGTTTGTCGATTGGCACGCACGTGCGAGGTCGGCACACGTCTGCACGCCACACAAAACTCCAGCGACACGGGCTGTAGCTCCAGCGTAGACGCATACCAACGCTGTTCTCCTCCATCGCATGTCCGATTCAAGGCGACGATGAAGGCGTCCACGCATTCGCCTCGTCCTGAGATTGTAGATGGCAAGTACACACAAGTAGGCACGTCAACAAAGACGAGTTGTGGGTCTTGGGGACAGTTTGTTGATGGGCGGATACTTGATTTCGGAGATGGGGAAGAAGGTAAGTCGATCGGAACAAGATCACGGTCCACAATGAACTGCCAACAGCAGCGCTTGGTGAACAAACACAGCGGTGTCCCGTGATCGATCACCTGTCCATGTATTGTGTTCATCTTCGACACCCCTGCTGCGAATACTGGTTGTGTCGGGGACAAACGTACCATTTGGTTGGCCGCTAAAAGACTCATGACCAACAGAAAACATGGTTCTTTGGTAGCAACAGACAATGAAGGGAGCCTGACTCATGCGACCGGAGACAGTCTTGAACCACAATCCCTAAGATAATCAAACCACAATCCTTAGATAATCAGGCGCTTCGCCACCATCTGAGGCGATGCTGGGGCAACAGATCCACCCCCAAAACTCGACAATCAAGTCCCCATCACTCTCCGTTCGTGCCCCTGTATCGTAAAGGGTGGCCTGCGTCTCAAACGTTGTATTCATAGACTTATCAACCCTAAATGGGATCCAAGCGCATTTCCACAAAAGACATATGTACCAGGGCAAGCTCTGCACAACGTTCTGCGTGGGATTGAAGTCCATTTCTCAGGCTAGAGTCAAGATTCAAAACAACCCTTCTGCCTCTGGCGGGGAAGGTATGTGCCTCGCCTGGAAATCAGTACCGACCACAACGAAGTTCGTTTCAACGGATCAACAGTTTCGTGCAGGAACCTGTTTTCCTCATGAAACATCTCAACGTTTAGCTCCATGCCAGTAGAAAACTAATAACTCGGGTGAGAGCAACAAATCGATTTTTACCAAGCTTGGTGGCCTGGCGGCCCCTTTGCAACGTCACAACCTGCGGTATGAAACATGCATGTGGCACCATCGTAGAGGTCTCTTACGAACCCCAAGGGAAAGGTGTCACCACGACCACTCATGACGGAAAAAGACGCGTGCGGCACTCTCCAAGCAAACATGTTTTCGTCGCGATTTGCCTCGAAAATATTGTAAAAAAGCATCCAACACAGTAAAAATCAATGAAAACGATGCTTGGCCCAACAGCCGACGAGACCTAGGTTTATCCAAACCTGATACTACTGCTTTCGTCGGGTGGCAAGACTTGTCGGCTGACGCCTTGCAAAACAAATTTTTATCGGGCTTGAGTCTCTCAAAATGCAAAATTTGTTCCTTGCAACACACAGCGGCATATTATCCGCAAAACTCAATGCGAAAATGCTGTATGTTATATGCGTGTGGTTCGGTCGTCGCGAGCGACGCTCCTGTCCCTTGATTTAAATAAGTTTCGCCAGCTCACTCTCCGAAAGTCCGAAAGGTAGTCGCTTTCGAGCACAGCACAGGTGATTGTGCCTTCAGCCGCTCGTCATTGAGTGTGAGAGGAACGGGTGTTTTCTGCTGTGGGGTCAAGAGCCTTTCTCTTTGATTAATGCTATGTCGAAAGGACTCGTAAGGCTACGTCCGGTTCTTTCAAAACACAAGAGTTACAGAGGAATGGCGTCACGAAAAGAAACAAAACTCGATCCCTTGAGTGAGGATTTCCACATATGCAACTATTTAATTGATAAGTAGCAAAAATCAACGGGTGCAGCGTATTCCTGACAAATTATTGGGGCGTAGATCGATATTCGAACTGGGCAATCAATCGAACCAGCTTGTTGCTCGCCTGTATGCTATATCGCGCGGAAAAATCAGCCTGTTCGCGTTCAACGCGTCTGGTCATCGGGGATACCCACTGGAGAACGGCCGCGATGAGCCAATGCACCCAACCGATCCGGCGGTCGGCGCAACGTCGGGTCGTTGTATTTATTGACAAACAAATCACAAGAAAAACTAGAGTCTTTTTGGCTGCCTTTTACCACGGTCTAGTCATGCAAGCCACTCACACACCACATCGATCGGTAGGCTCTGGCAACTTCGAGCGGTGTGGTTTCGTGTTACGAGCTGTAGCCACCCGCAGCTAGAGCATCTTTTCTTGCCTTGTTCACCACAATCTCTGTGGGCAGATGATTGTCAAAAAGAAACAATTTCACGCACCTCGATCTCGTGTTATTGGGCCTTTGCCGAAAAGGCGCACAGTTTTACCGGACAGGGTTGCTCAAGCTTGTACGACTTCTTGAAAACGATAAAGAGGTTTGTGACTGCTGCGGCTCAGCGGGGTAGGGGAGGATTGGGAGCGTACAGCAGTCCGGAAGGACGCCGCCAAGGAGTCTATATCTGGAACTTTGTTGTGTGAGAAGAGAAAGAAACGTTCGAGAAGTAAGCACCATTCCGAGGTCAGGGGGAAGTCGCCTCCGCTGGCGCAAGCCGTCCCCTCAACACACACACGTGTTGCCACCGATACTGTTCGTCGGAAATTGCCAAATACACCATTCGCTCACGCAGACACCACGAATCCTGCAATCTCATCCCGAAGCAGGCTTTCTGCGACGTACTGTCAGATACCCTGCTACGCCTCTCGCTTAAGCGCTGATCAAATATCGTGAACATCCTCCGTATGCTTCATACACAACAACGCACAGACCACCTCATTCCCGCAAGGTTTGGGTCACCCCATCTTTTGTCCAAACGGCGTCTACATTGGACCGTTGCGTACCTCCATGACATGGACTTTCAAGATATTTTTGGAGGTACGCTCATGATCGGTTTGAGGGCCCCAAGACACCGAGCTACTGACTACTGGAGTTCAGGCGTGATCTGGGTTGACGTTGGCACGCCGGCTGCAATCGCTTTAGTGGAGACCCAAATCATGTACATCGTACATTCGTTAGATGTTTTGTTATCTCTACCAGTACAGCAGGTCACCCCGTTGGTCGAGTCGTAACCTCGAAATCGCTACTGTAGTCGTAAAGTCGTGAGTTCGAATCCCCATCGGGTGAAAACTTTACAACCTTGCGGGTGAAAGCGAAAAAAGCTGAAGAGCTCTCGTGAGTACCTAACTTCGACGTTAGCACTGTTGAAGAGGGAAAGGGACGGCTGGACCTTTCTCGCGACAAAAAACAAAAAACTTAGCACGCACCGCAAGAGGAAGGTGGGGCACGGAAAAAAGAAGAAAAAGCCCCCCTCCTGTGTGACCCTGGATGATTGTAGTTGAACCAAAAAATACACTGAAAGTGTGGGACATCTCGCCACGAAAAATTGGGGGACTGTCATCATAATCAATGGGGGGATTGTAGTGTCTGGCCAACATCTGTGAAAGTTGGTTCCCAAGAGCTGGAAAGGTTGCGTGCAGCAAAAACAGCTTCAACTCAGATGAGTTCGTGAGGCATTTCTCCCGCCCATAGCACTCTCAAAGGGTAAGGGCATCAGCAGCTTTCCGATGGAGGATATGACTTGCTTGAGGCGGCTGTGCGCTTTGGTGGCACGTCAAGATGTGTGTGAGGAGCACGAGGTGGTGTGAAAGACCTGGGCAAAGTTTTGTCTAACCCGGGGAGGGGATTGACAACACTCCTGTTAAAACCGCGGGTGCCTTCATCCCGTACTTTTTTATGATCGTAATGGAGTGTGTCACAGTCCGGGGCACGCGGCTAGCAACAGGCACAGCGTGCAGCAGGGTGCAAAGGGCAAGCTACCGCCGCAGGTATTTCGCCGGATAGGCGGCAAGACGTGTACCAACACGTCAACACATGATCAGGGACAAACCACTGCGAAATGATTGTTGGCAAGCGCATGACGCCTGAACTACGTCTTCCCTGCCATGAGCACCCATGGTGACACCCTTTACATCCGGGGGGGTGTAAGATCGTTAGATCCCTCTACAAGTGGTGACGTTAGGTACTGTAGTCCTGGCGCGTCGGCACGTGTACAGCAGTACTCTAGGGTCGGAAAGGGGTGGCCAGGCCATCGAGAGCACTCTCTTCCGAAAACCGTGTATGGTAGGCAACTTTGCTGCTTTCACCACAGCTGACCGCTTTCGTACAACACAGGAAAACAACCAATATTGACAAGGGCGCACAAAAAAGTCTTCCCGCACACCTAACCGACGACCCCCCCCCCTCAAAAGACTAACGAAGATTTTGAGGGGGGATGAAGCACATGTGGGTAGGAATTCAAGGGATAGTGGGCAAGAAAAGAGGGGGAGACACGGGAATATCGACACTATGATCTGCCGAGGGTAAGATGGTAAGCAGTTCTAAAGGAAAGCGGGAAGTCCTAGTAGAGCACTACCGCAAACTTGGGACACCCACCACCAACGACAACTTCGACTCGGAGTTTGAGAAGGAAATCAACTCGTGGGCAGAGGAAAACGTTGAAAGATCTCGGAGGGAATGTAGTGATGTAGACGGGTTGCAGGGAGAGTTCACACGAGAAGAGGTAGAGGACTGTGTAGCGAAACTCAAGAATAGAAAAGCGGCAGGGGCTGATGGAATTGTGAATGAGCCTTTGAAACAGGGGGGGGGTGTACTCATAGTCGTGCATGCCGTAGTCGTTAGACCATTGACCTCGCATCCCTACGATGCCGGGACGGAGCACGCCGGGTTCTCACCGGACCAGGCTCTCACATCACCAAGCGCGAAGCGCCGTGAGATATTCGGCGAGTCGCATGAAGGGTGCGCTGCATCCTGCTAAGGGT